CACATTTCATCATCTCAAAAATTGCTCAAACATTAACAAATGGATACATAACATATTATTTTCGGATGAACCGTCATCATAATCATCACGATATTCAACTTCACTTTATTAATGCAACGAAAACAATCCAAAATATAATTGGCCAACAACTCCAACAATCCATAAACAACGTCTCATAAAATTTAAAAAAAGAGTTATAATACTCTCACAATCTTTCAAAGACAACAACGACTAAATAAGCAAAACAGATGTTCATCTCTGGTATTACATATCAGAGCAAGACTCGACTCGATCTACACACCATAAGGTGCAACTCCATACCTCAGGCTACTCTAATCTTTGTCACATGCGCATTACCCACATGGACGCAACATTCAAACAGAAGGGGTGAGATATCATAACAATATAAACGAATATATGATGATGAATATACGACAAATATATCATGTAATGTTTCAGCTTAATAATCACCAATTATAGTTTATAACAATTACACAGATACACACTTAACTATCATCATCCATCATACAACATAATTTAAATATACAACTCAACTTCATCGTTATATCCATAATATGCAACTCAACATCATCATCGTATCAACAAAAGGCAATTCAATATCATCATCGTATTAACAATTCAACAATATACAATACGACTGACACTAACGTAAAATGCATGTGGTACCAATAGGTCAAAACCCTCAACTTAATAATGTCAACTTAGGGCAGAAACTTCATAACACCAATACAGGCCATCGTAATAGGGCAAAACCCTTAACTTAATAATAACAACTTGGGGCAACAACGCCAATACAAGTCATCTTTCGCCAATACAGGTTATCTTTAATGAATGCATGTGACACTGATATGCAATAACACAATTTTACATTGATTACTTTTACTTATCAATGTTATGCTAATACAGGCCATCATCATCATTATCATCATCATCGCGCATATGACACACAATTAAAACATTCATGCAACATCATCGCACTCAATCACAATACCAATCTCATCGATTCATCATCATATTCACAACTTCACAATTACATCAAAACAACAGAATAAGCCAATATAGGCCACCAAGCACATATCATAGTACATACATCATCACAACATCGTTACATCAAGAAATATCTTCAAATTCATCGTCATATTCGCAACTTCACAATCAAAACACAACATCAAAACAAAACAAAATCCATAAAATCATCTCATACTGTTTTCAATTCATTTTTATTGAGTAGAAAATATTTTTAAATTTTTGTAGGTTCGAGCGACGCGTCAAACGAACACCCGAGTCAAAAGTAATGAAGTTTCAAAGTTTTGCAAAATCTATCAGTTTCAGTAGGGTACCCGAGTACCCATATATTTGTAACTGGTTACCCCATGCCAAAACGGCCAAAAATGCTATTTTTTGAGTGGTAACCAGGTACCCATATATGGTAACTGATTTCCACTGTTCTAGAATTAAAAAAAAAAGATTTTTATGTTACGAAAAACACTTATTTGTCCGGTAAACATGTCTAACTTCCATCTATTATATCGTTAATGTTTATAATTGAACTTCTCACATTCATACCTCAATACCAACCATTTTAATTCACACAAAAACACAATTAAGCATTTAAATTAAGTGATTCTTTCATCCAAACCAAAAATAATTGTTATAACAATTACACCTAAACATCACCCATCAATCAACTTCATTTATACAACATCAAATGTAAGAATTTCACACTCATTCATCATAAACAATTGTCACATAGATATATCACATAAAACAACCAATTCTCACAAAGATGAACATATAATTACATAATCTAACTCTACCATAATCCATCATCACACAAACCCTTATATAGTTAGAACCTCACCCTTACCTTAGGTTTTGAGTTCTCTCCCCTTCTCCAATGGAATCTTCTCTTTAGCCCTAGATTCTTTCTTTTCTCCTCTTCTCCCCAAAGCATTCTTTTTCCCCTCTTCTCTGATTTCCACGATCGGTTGAGAATAATGATTCTCTCTATCTCTTTAGACCCCTAATATCAATATTGCTCTTCCTTATTTTTAATTAATTATTTAATTACTAATATTATAAATAACTTGTATCTATAATAATAATAATAATAATAATAATAATAATAATAATAATAATAATAATAATAATAAAAAAATGATTACTAGTCTTCTCACCACACCCCATGGTTCTATGATTTCTCTCATACACCCTTAACACCCCAGCTTCTATCATTTTTAAGACATCTCATCATCAACAAACGCATCACATCACATTACATCATAAAATCTATCAACTCATACAAATACACTACATCGACTAATTCACTATAATTCATATATTCATCAATAATCACCGATATTCATATTAAATTAATTAAATAATTATTCTAGATTTTTGGGGTGTTACAACGACTACCCTAAACTTTTTTTTAATTTTTTTCTTCCTATAGTCAAAAATACCATAACACCTGTAATTAATTTTAAAAACTACCACTTTGCCACTCAACCCTAAAACCTTCTTTTACTCTTTTTCCTCTCATTCTCTTTGCTATAATGAGACAAAAATTGCAAGTACACACTACCACAACTTCATTCCACCACTACTGCCACAACTTTGTATGCTCTTCCACTCGCCACTGTAGTATACAGATACCAATGTCGTCCTGGTTCCTCTCATATCATATGTGAGTCTCCTGTTCTTTAATTTTTTTAAGCTCTACCCCTTTGACTTTGAGCAATGTTAATGATGTTGAGAAATGTTTAACAATGTTGTTAACGTGTATTTTTTGTCTTGTTTTGCAATATCGAGCAATTTTGTTAATGTTGAGTAATGTTTGACAATGTTATTCAAGTGTAATTTGTTCTATTTTGACAATGTTATTCAAGTGTATTTTTTTGTTAACGTTGATCTATGTTTGGCAATGTTGTTAAAGTTTAGTTTTTTCTTCTGTTTTTGTAGCGCCAAATTGATGATGAAGAGTAGAAAAATGAATTATTTTTTCAAGATGAAAGAAAGAGATGAAGAATATATAACTTATATGTCAGAACTCAAAGAGTTCTTGAGAATCCAAGAATTGAAGAAAATGTTAATAGAGTTTTCCCAGATGACATTGAGAGCTCTTTAAAACGTGATCCTAGAAAACGTCCTCCAATATGGGAATATCCATGAAATCTAATGATGAAATACAAAAAAGCTTATTTAAATAGGGTCCATATCAAATGCCTTTAGAATAATATTCATTGTCTGGTAAAGAAGACCGTCAAAGACAATTTCAACACGCTTGGTTTAACATTTTTTCCTTCATAGATAGAATATTCACCTTTAAAAGATGCTGCTTATTACTTGCCATGTTATCTTTTTAGCAAAAGACCAAGTGGATATCCTGGTTCAGATCTCTTTATTTATATAAGTTTAGAGGTTGGCAGAAAGTTAGAAATGGAAAGCATTAGATAGAGAAGGATCCTTGTTCACCATACAATAATGCTATGAAAGTTTGGCAAGACTTGTTGAGTCAATATGGGCATTTTGGGAACATTATTCAAGCTCAAAGTTTGATTGAAATTATGAAGAATCTACTACGTCTCAAGACTTCAATTGACACAGTTTGTTGGTTAACTTTTCAAGCTTAGAGGTCACGATGAAAGTAAAGAATCATTAAACCAAGATAATTTTCTTCAATTGATAAAACTCTTGGCATGTTACAATGATGAAGTTGCAAAAGTTGTGTTAGAAAATGCTCCATATAATAGCGAGTATACTTCACATAAAATTTAAAAAGAGGCCTTGCACATTCTTTCAAGTACAGAGAAAAAGCATATTCGTAAAGAAATTGGTGATTTCAAATTTTGTATAGGTGTAGATGAAACTAGTGATGAATCTTAAAAAGAGAAAATGACTCTTGTTTTGAGACTTGTGATAAAGGCGGATTTATACAAGAGAGATTTTTTGGCCTTACACGTGTTAATGACACTACATCTTTAACTCTTAAGTAAAGAGTACGTGATATACTTTTTCTACATAACTTTGATGTTTATAACATCTATGGTCAAATGTATGATGGGGCTAAAATGTGAGAGGAGAATGAAACGATTTACAAGTAATGAGTTTATTTTTTATAAAAAAATTGAGTTTAATTTCGTCGATATGGTAAACTATATTTTAGCATCTCTCTTCTCACCTCCTCTCCCCTCCAAAAAAACTCTAATTTCGAGAGAACGAAAAATTATTTAGGAGAGATTATGATCGTCTCCTCTTTTCTCCCTTCCCCTCCTAAAATATTAAAGCAAACACTTTTCATTAAAAATATTTCATTCCCTTCTCCCTTCCACATAATTTTATTTATTGACTTTATTAATAAATTGAACGAAAATGATTAATGGAATTCGATTTGTAATGTAAAATGACACAAATAATTTTTTTTTAATTAAGAAACCAAAATCAACATCTAATATAAGATAACAAAATATTAAATCTTTATATAATTACTTTATAAAAAATATGTGAATAGTTGTAACGCTAAATACAAATCATTTAAATATATACGCATCAATATTGTTAAAATATTTTACACCATCAATTAATTATAATTATTAAATTTTTATGATTATTTGACTTTTATTTTAATCACATATATAAAATATTATTATATGAATGATTGTGATGTATAGATTGTTTACATTTTTTTTACACATTATAAAATATTACTAGTATTTACTATATAGAATATCGCATATGAATATCGATTGTATAAATTTTTTTTACATATTATTTACTATATTAGAATTAATCTCATTTTAAAAATGCACCTATTATAATTTAATTTTTATTCTTCTGTTTTTTTTTTTTTTTGCTGTGTGTGTCAAAATACCGTGCCAGGTCATGTGAGCATAGATGACTTTATCTCATCCGACAGGAAACAGGCCTGACTTTGCCACCATTGTTCCTGAATTCCCCTTATCCGCACGACTATAAACACAATGGTAGGTGGTATTTCAGTAACCCACCCAGCAAGCACCATTTTAACATGTTGGACATATAGTCGAAAACCTGGTAGGCAATGCAATCTAAACTTTCAGAACCAGCAACCGCTCTTTTTCTTCATTTTCATCATCGAACAGATTCCATTCCAGTAATACTTACCATACTATTATTTCTATCAGGTAACAAACCACGGACAGTATCAATGTCTCTCAGAAACGGAAATAGCAATAAACAGCAGCTAGAACGTGAAAGGCTCTATCTCGGCTTCGACTTCGGCACTTCCGGCGCCAGGTTTGCCGTTATTGACATCGGCGGCACAATTCAGGCCGAGGCCAAGAGACACTATCCACTATACTCGGTATCGTTTTAATTTCAAGCCGAGATAGTGTTCGGCTAAATTGATTAATTGTTACTATTCCCAAACTATGCTGAGATTTTTGTTTCTCTTGTCTAGAAAGAACGGAGAGTCACGTGATTGGGTACGTTCATGGAAGGAGACACTTTTTTTGTTGCTTCAAGATATTCCACCTAACCTTCGCAAACACATTGTATCCATTTCTATTGATGGTACATCTGCAACTACTATCATTCTTGATAGGTAGGTAATTGTCAGTTTGAACAAATTGCTGCAATTGACCATATTGATGTGAATTCTGAAGTGGGAATGTTGATCTGATATTGCAGTGACACGGGAGAGCCGTTGTGTAGACCTTTTCTTTATAATGAAACTTGTTCTGAAGCACTACCTGCTGTAAAATCTATTGCACCTCCAAACCATACAGTATGCTCTGCTACGTCCACTCTGTGTAAGCTTGTCTCGTGGTGGAATCGTGATGGTTTGAACGAAAAATCTGCTCTGTTGTTGCACCAAGCAGATTGGCTTTTATGGCTTCTTCATGGAAAGCTTGGAGTTTCAGATTATAATAATGCTCTGAAGGCATCATTTAATAAGCTCTAACTTATTATCTGTTTTATAGCTATAGGGTAAATCATAATTATGTCTGTTGCGATATCCGAGTTGGAAAATTTATCGATTGTTTTTATGTTTTGCAGGTTGGATATGATCCTGAAGCTGACTCATATCCGTCATGGCTAATCTCTCAACCTTACTCTCATCTTTTACCTTCGGTTGTTGCACCAGGAACTCCAATTGCTTGTTTAAAGGAGGAACTTAGAAATAAATTTGGTATGTTTTCTTTAATTTATGAATTGTGGTTGTGTGAATCTTGTACAAAGCAACACATAGGAGAAAATATATTCTGTCTGAGAGCCTTCCGAAAAACCATTCAAAATTTAAATAATTAGGTTCCAACCCTAGTTTTTAGGACTAATTGTGAAGTTGATGCACAAGTAACACAACTCTCTGGTCTTATTTATTGCTGTGTTGTAATGGCACCCGATTTTCCTTAACTAATTGGTTAAAAATTTTGTTGTTGTGAAATTGAAAATCATATACATAGTGCATATCCTTTCAGGTTTTCAGAAGGAGTGTGTTGTATGCACTGGAACCACAGACAGTATAGCTGCATTTCTTGCAGCTCGAGTTACTCAACCTGGAAAAGCTGTAATTTCTTAGTAAAATTATTCTTCTTTAGTTATTTATTCGTGACCTGTTATGTCTCGTGACGGACAAGTTAACATTTTCAGAAAGATAACTTAGAATCTTGGATTGTTAATTGAATAAATTTTTATTCAGATTTCATGTTCAGTTCATCATCAAAAAGGAATGTATGCATAGCTTCAACAATGGAAACTTTTGTATGCTTCCATTATAATTTTGCATAGAAGACTTTCTGCTACACCAGTTATTTCATCATTACAAGACCATGTTACCTTATATATGCAACTAATAGCATTGACAACCCAACACCTCCCTTAGAATTTCTTAAGTGTATCCCATTACACTGTATTTATAATAAGATCACAATAAATACATTAAAAACCTGATCGATATGATTGCTAATTTTAATCCATAATTAGTGCTAATTAGAGACTTTGTACAGCTAACAAATATCAACATTTACTGATTCTAACACTTAGAATATTGGTTTGTTAATTAAATAAATTTGAAATAAAGAATGTATATCTTCAACGAAGAATTTTTTAATACGCTTCGATTATAGTTTTGCATAGAAGTCTTTCTGTTACACCATTTCTTTCATCGGTATAAGATCATGCATTCATGCTACTTATATATGCAACTAAGAGCATGTACTCAACACCTCTCATTGAGATTCTTAAGTAGGTCGCACATGGATCATCACTCATTTTAACCTTTTTCAACTTAAGCACCGCATCCCCCAACTCAGCACCTCCAAAAAATGACTATATTAGTCTCATTAATAACCTCACATCCTTACATTTCATCAACTAAATACTATTTAAATGCATCCTTGTCTACAAAAAATACTATTCCAAATGTACTTTGGTCCAATCATGAGATAAGTTGTGGAGTTTCTATAGTCTCTTTCTTCCTATAAGCTACTCCCTCCAATGGTTGGTTATTAACTCCAAAACTTATAAACTTAGCACCCCTTTAGATCCACCATTTTGGATGCTCTGACCACATTAGCTTTTATGACTTACTTTTTTTTCTCATAATGCTTGAATAGGTCACTTCATTGGGTTCAACACTTGCTATTAAACTATTAAGCAACACAAGAGTTGAGGATTCTCGGTTTGGGGTGTATAGTCATCGCCTTGATGATAAATGGCTTGTTGGTGGTGCTTCAAACACTGGTGGAGCTGTTCTTAGACAGCTTTTCACGGATGATCAATTAAAGAAACTGAGTGAACAAATCAATCCCTCACAAATATCTCTTCTGGACTACTATCCCCTTCCAAAAGCTGGTGAAAGATTTCCAATTGCAGATCCAGATTTGGCTCCAAGGTACTGAATTCTTTCTGCTTTCTGTTGGAACAGACAATTTTTGGAATTCAATTTGCATGGAATCTTCTTTATAATGTAGTTTACCTCTAGATTTATTTTGATATGGATTTTCAAATTGAAGTCCTGTCCATAGTAGGCTTTCAGAATGTTAGACCTCTTATCAGTATTGTTATTATATTATTAGGCTCGAGTTATTATATTATTAAGCAACAATTATGCATTAAGGTGGTAGCTGTTATTATTAGACAATTATTGAAAAATTAGGATGTTGATTATTCTCTATTTATGAACCTTGATAGAGTTTTCCTTATTGATTTATTTTTCCTTTCTTGAGACATTCTCTCTTGTATATAAACTTGCATAAGCTCATTGTCAAATACAAGTTGATTATTCTAAACTATTCAACTTAGTATCTGGAGCAAGGTTCAAAGTCCTAGTTTTTAGTCTTGAGCAAGTTTATTAATCCTCCATCTATATGCCTTCACTAATTACTTGTATTAGAGAATAGGGAATATTGTTATATTTTATTCTTGAACAATAGCTGATATAAATAGGGATATTACAACTTCATATATTCTAGGAGAATATTATTATTATAAAAGACTAAATATAGAAGATAAATAAATAGGAAAAATACGTTACTCCAACAACTTGTAATTAAAAGTCCCTCAAATCTTTAATCCTCTAAATTTGATCATGTTCCTTCAATCAATCTTTATGACTGCAAATCACATTCTCTATGAAGCCTCCAACCCTTGAATCTCCACCTTGATGTATTTCAACTCTTCTAAACCCTTGAAGAACGATCAAAACCTAAAACTCTAAAGATCCAATCTAGGTGAAAAGAAATGAATTCTTTCCTTCACTCTTTGTGCATATGAAATCCTCAAGTTACACAAAGTACTGAACACTCACAACTCACAAATTTCCCATCTATGCTCACTCACAAACTTCACCAACCCCAAAGAATCAAAGTGCTTTCAATAGAACTTTTTAATCAATGAATTTGAAATGAGAATTATGAAAATGTTAGTTCTAAAAGAATGGATTTTTACTTATATATGCAAAGAAAATAAAGAATGGTGCATTTCGAAAAGTTCAGATTAACAGAGCTAGATTCAAATCCCATTCTTGGATTCGAATCCAACACGTTAGAAAAGGTTTTCAGTGTGTTTTTTATTATGGGATCCAAATCATCATTTTGAAATTTTTACCGTGATTTAAATCCAAGCCATCAGAGGGCAAAACATGCATAAACTATTTACTTCTGGATTGGAATTCAGGGTGGCAGGAACCAATTTCAGGATAAAAAAATGTTACTGGATTCGAATTCAACAAAGTAGGATTTGAATTTAAGGTACCAGAAACATAAACAACTTTTTTATTTCTTTTTCATAAAATGCATTTGTTGAATTATTGAGAGACACAATTACATTAATTTTACGCTAAATCTAGTTTTGATATCATTCAAACAAATTCTAATTCTAGAAAGAACATACCCTTAATAAATTCTATGTAGATGGTATTGTTATTACAGGTAGTGATCAAAATGGCATTAAAGACCTAAAACAACATTTGTTCACCCACTTTAATACCAACGATTTGGGTCAATTGTGTTATTTTTTTGGGATTGAAGTAACTCATTCAAAGATTGACACTGCCATCTCTCAAAGAAAATATGTTTTTGATATCTTAGAAGAGACATAGATGCTTAATTGAAAACCAGTTGATACTCTTGTGAACTCCAATGTGAAGCTTTTATAGAATCCGGGAGAGCGATATCCTAATCCAAGCTGATACATGAGGTTAGTTGGAAAACTGATTTATCCCACAATGACAAGACTAGATATTTCGTTTGCTGTAAGTATTGTGAATCAATTTTTAAACTCACCTTGTGATAGCCATTGGAATGTTGTAGTTCGTGTCAACTTAGAGTACAGAGGCACTAAAAACTGCTGTTTTTATTGAACGATCAATTAAAATAACAACGATTGCAAATGTTTAATAGAGCTGAGAACCACCAACAGCATATTCCTAAAATTCAGCACCCACTACTGACTCAATTAAATATCTCTAAAGACTAGGACAAACTCAAAACAAAAAAAATCAGTTACAAACATAAATAATATGATAAATTAATATCTCTAATGTTCTCCCTTAAACCGAAAATCAGCTTCTGATTGCACTACTTCTATGCCAAGAAAATAAGGCATCTTCCCTAAATCAGACATCAAATTCCAACATCATAGATTGCTTGAACCTTTCAAACATGCTGAAATTGTTCCCTGTATATATTAAATCATCCACATACAAGCACACAATCAGCAATTTTCTTCCTTCCCCACTTTTCACAAAAAGTGTGTGTTCAAAAGGACATTTTTGAAAGCCTTCCTTCAGGAAGTAAGCTTCAATTCGGCTATACCAAGCGCGTGGCGCTTGTTTTAATCCATACAAAGCCTTCTTAAGTCTATAAACTTTGTTCTCACATCCAGACTTCATGTATCCATGAGGCTGATCAATAAACACATGCTTTTGGAGATCACCATGTAAGAGCGCTGATTTTACATCCAATTGGAAGATGTGCCATGAGTTCTGTGCAGCTAAAGCAACCACTATTCTGATGGTATCATGCCTTGCAACCGGAGCAAATACTTCAGTATAATCCACCCCAAACTCTTGCTTGTAGCCTTTAGTAACTAACCTTGCTTTATACTTGTCAACTTCTCCATCTTTCAATTTCGTTATGTAAACCCACTTCACACCGATAGTTGTGCCCTTGTGGAAGATCAACCAGCTCCCATGTGTTGTTTTTCTCAATTGAAGCAATTTCTTCATTCATTGCTTTTTTCCATTTGGTTCTTTAACAGCTTCTTCAAAAGCTGTAGGATGATCACAATCTGAGAACAACACAAAGTGTGTAAGAGGGTTTTCTGATTTCTGTATGCCTTGTACCTCATAATCAGCCATCCACCCCGTCCTTCTAGCACGCTGAGAGCGCACTTCTACAACTGGTGTTGCCGGTGATCCACTATTCTGCTGACTGCTGTCAATAGCAGTAGGTTCTGCTGTCTGCAGCTGCAAATCTGAGCTTGCTGGCTGTTGCAACTGTTGTTCATTTCATGTATTTCATCAAAATCAACACGTATATCTCGATGTTCAACCATTGTCTCAATCTCTGACCCGAAATTCTGCTCATCAAAGATCACATCACGACTAATTACAATCTTCTTAGTGTTAGGATTATAGAGCTTGTAAGCCTTTGACTAATTACTTATCCGAAATAATGTAGGTAAGTCAGTTCGGATATGCATTTTCGAAACAGACGAACGTTTTTTCAGCTCAAACTAAAGATCAATGCAAGCAATGAGGGATGAAATGAGGGAACTTTACCTTAAATTGCAGCTTATGATGTTCCCTTTGATGTCTTAGAATGCACAAAATCTGATTTTGAATCGAAAAAGTTGGTTGCTAAAGAGATTTTTTTTTCAAGGGTTTTTTTGTTTATGGAGGTGTTTGGTAGTGTTTGAAAAGTGAGGAAGATGATCATGCAAGGTGGTCATATCCTCAAATTCACGCTGGACATTTTTGGAAACACATCTCCGAAAATATCACTGAGTGATAAAAAAAATTAATTGTAGCAAAGGTGACTTCGGACATGCATCTCCGAATTTACCCTAGAGGTGTATCGTGAGAGGCATCTCCGGACTAAATTTTGCTAAAAAAATGGTATTTGGTGTATTTGGAGATGCATCTCTGAATTCACCCAGGAGCATTTCCGGATTTTCAAAGGTGCACCCCATATAACAAGGGTGGGATGAGAAATTGCGTGTTGTATTATAAAACAACTCATTTCTTTTTCTAAAAAAGCAGTCCAGAGATTGTTATAAATAAATTGTTTCTACTAATTTTATTACAATAGATACCGATTTCTATCTCAGAATTGTCAATTTTTTTTGTATCTGAAATAGTATTCTCTCTCTCTTTGTAATGTCATTAAATTTAAAAATCATCCTGCAAAGGAACAAAAGCTATTTAATGAGGATGGCCTCCAAAGCATCTCTGGTTTGTAAGAAAAGTATATGACTACAAGTCCAGCAGTAATTTCTGACATTGTTGAAATATTCCTCACATTGTTGAAATGTGTGATGCTTGAGTAATCAATTGTTCCATATATGCAAGTTTGTTTTTGATGGGGCACTGCATATGTAGTCAGAGTGCATTTAATTTCACTTAAGGTTGGCCACTCTTAAGAAGTTAAGAAATACAGTAGAAATATCTTCAGTAAAAAGTATAGTATTTATTCGGAGCTTTAAAAACATTACTACCACTTTGCATTTAATACTTTCTATTTTTCAATCCTTAACAAGTGTCCCTAAGGAAATTCTGACATTTCCTTGTCTTAATAACGGATGATGACTGAACTAATTTTTGGAAGGAGAAAGGACGTTTCAAGTTCCATACGCTTATAGAATCAGATTTAATGTTGGTTCATTTATGTTCAGTGACAAATTCCAAATTTGGTTCTGCTATCAGTGCCACCATACCAATACCACAGTCAAAACCAACTCATGTTCACTGTGACCACCAACCAAGCTTCTTTTTATTTTTTGCATAATAACTAATGGAATTTAATTTTGTGGACAGGCTACTTCCACGTCCAGAAAATGATGCTGAATACTTGCATGGGATTTTGGAATCTATTGCACGAATAGAGGTAAAAAACTTAGACTCATTTTAGACTGGGTTGAATATTTATTTTTACAGGCAAATGTCAGAATAGTATGTTAATATTTTCTTATTCATCAGAGTTTGAGTCCCAATCCTCTAACTTCAATTCTACTAACTTTTAGTTAAAATCACTTGTTTTTTTGCTTTAACTCTTTGAGAATGCACTGGTATTTTAGGAAAAGGGATATGGGTTGCTAAAGGAGCTCGGCGCAACTGCAGTAGATCAAGTTTTCACAGCCGGTGGAGGAGCGAATAATGAGAAGTGGACAAAGATAAGAGAGAGGGTGCTTGGTTTACCAGTGAGTCGTGCAAATCAAACAGAAGCTGCTTATGGAACTGCATTGCTGGCAATTAAGGGTGATCAACAAAATATTTTGTGAAAACTCTTGGCTATTTGGTGAAATGGCTAATTTCTGATGTTTGGGAGTATTTGTATTCTATATAATTGGTATTAGTAGGGTTACTGTATTGAATTTCATGTCCTGTGCAGAGTTTTTTTCATTAAAATTTTATATGATTCAACAGTTTAACAAATTCGGGAACAATATATAAATGTTGAATATGATTTGGCTCTCCATCCTTTTCATTTTTTCTCTTTTTATTCAACGATTTGTCTTAATTAAAAATAAGAAAAATTACCCTCACCTTCTTTTAGGTCTAATTGAATGACACTAATACCTCATTTAATCTTAAAATATGCATTAGAGGTCTATTAAAATGGTATTGATATCCCGTTAAATTTTTTAGTGATAGTAAAAAAATCATAGATATGATATATATCTATGAATTTTGTTTGTCACTAAAAATTTTCATTTGTATATATAAATTTATAAGAGTTTAGTGTATATTTTAAAATTAAAAGAAATATCAGTGTCATTTAAGTAAATTAGGTCAATATAATTTTCTATAAAAATAAAAATGTTAATCTATCATATAAGAAGATAAGATGTTTTGAAAAAGCCTAAATTACTTTTTTTACATTTTGTTCAATCAAAGTTTCTCTTTTGGTTCTTATGTATTTACCCATACTATCTATCATTTATTCTTACATCCTATAAATAACTCCAAATTGAAACAATTTCTACTCCACATCTTCACTATCGTTTTTAAATGATTTTTGTTGTATGTTCTGGACATCAATTCTTCTTATTTCTTATATACAAACCATATCTGAATTCATGTTTTATTTTTTGTTTTGAATATTGTTAGGTTTCTTCCTGATTGTAATGGAGAAGCAAGTGACCGAAGAGAACTATCATTAATGTTCTCCTTCATGGTGCAGCCGAAGCGTTGGCGAAACAAGTGACCGAAGAGAACTACAAAAGGACTTGAGTTATTCAATGAGCAATTTAGAACTCTGATAACAACTTTATCTTGATTGGTTTTATTCATAAGTATTGCTTTTTGAATTTTTTTTATCTACGATTTTACATTTTTTAGAAAGATATATTTTATAATTCTAAAAGACATATTTTTGTGTTTTCTCCTTACCATCATAGTTCTCTAAAATTGAGTTTTTGATCATAACATTTTTCAGCACTCTTTTGTTAGTTTTTTCTTTGTAATTATTAATAGATTATTATGAAAAATGCATTTTAGAATAAATATAGTATTGCAACGTAAATTATTGTTTTTGATATTTGATCGGAAAAATAACAAGTGCATTATTTTTATCGGTGTAGTAATAAGAAGGAGTTAATCCCAAATATCGATCTCGCGGGCTGCGTAGGAAATATAAGTTATTATAATCAATCAACTGAATAAAAGAACGCAAGGGTTTATTGATTGTGTGAGAGTAATATTAAATGATAGCAAATTAAACAAGACGAAAAGTAAAGGTGTATAATATATGAGAAAGTATGATAGGGTTAGGTGTGTGAATTACTTAGTGACGACATTTCTTCTATGTTTCATGATATATTGTGAAAATGAATCAATACCAAATCTCAAGAGTTGTTTCCGTTAATTCCTTAATTGAAAACCTTTGATATTCATCTTTAATCCTATTTCCTTAGCTATTAACGACGATATCAAGCAATTCGAATTGTTTACCAAGACTTTAACGGTTACTACGATTAAATCTTCATTCCTAAGCGATTTCACCGTTGTATTATTGTGCAAACAACGTTAAGGTGGTTTGTCCGACCTAACCTTAACCTTAAATCAAGAACTATTTATCCTATAGCAAAAGCATTAAACTCATTGCATAATAAATTAAACTCGTAAAAACATCAATATCATAAAAACAATGGAAATTTGGTTCATAACATTCGCAATTCAGGAACATCCCCTAGCATTGGGGTGTTTAGCTACTCTTAATATTTATAAAGCTTACAAAATAAAGTGTAGACATTACAAAGATTTATCGATTCCGTTGATCTTCAATTGCGATTGCCCTTGAAGATCGTTCCTCCTCGAAACCCTTGCTCGCTCTCTTTCTTCTGTAATTCTCTCTTCTCTATGAGCAAAGATGTTTTAAATGCTTCTCAAAACTAGGTTTAAATAGTATCAGGTCACAACAAAGTCGCGTGGAAAGTCAAAATTACCCTTAATGAGCTCAACCATTTAAAATGAATGAAAATATGATTTATCTCGCGCCTGCCAACACGGGCCGTGTCAGGCAACACATGCACCCGTGTTGGCCCCCTGCCTTGGTTATCAAAGTTTCTTGCTCCCAGGCCTGATGAAACGGGCCATGTCAGGTGACACGAGCACCCGTGTTGGGCCTCTGCCTTTGTTGTCAAATTTTCTTGCTCTCAGGCCTGCTGATACGGGTCGTGTCAGGTGACACGGGCACCCGTGTCAGCCTTCTGTTTTTGTCCTCTCGTGCTCTTCATCTGCACACCCTGACACGGGCCGTGTCAAGTGACACGGGCGCCCGTGTCAGGCTTCTGTTTTACACTTTTAACTTCTACGGAATATCCTTCGGCTTTGCATCAGTTACTCAGATTTGCTCACGTGTACCTGAGACATTAACACTACCAAACCAAGCATCAAAAGCACCCTAATTGACATGCATTCCCAAATAAATGCAATGTAAAACCACTTACCATGAAAACAAAAATAAAATACTGAGAACGATAAAAGATGAAACATTGTGTTATCGAAATGATAGACTTTTTGCCAACTGATTGCTGAAAATAGAGTACAAATGGTGACTGGTCACAACCCCAAACTTATCTCATTGCTTGTCCTCAAGTGATGTAAGAGATAACAAAGAGGTCACCCCAGAATTTCTTCTTACCACAATACAACCGATGTTCTTCGCAACTTGCTTTCCACCTTTCTGGTCAAGATTCTGGTTCACCGATCAGAATTTTCCGCTACACTTCTACATCAAAACACTTTTATACCTGTAAGATTTTTCACACTCTCAACAAATCTCTCGGGGTTAAAGTGTTTTGAACTCTAAATTCAATGTATACAATATCGACTCTTAACTTTGAATGAATTCTACTTTCACTGCACAAACAAATTTCACACACTTTTAGAAGTCTTTGGGTTATAACGGGGCTTAGGTAAAGTGGGGAAAACAAAAAAAATGGATACACAAAGGTTTTTTGGGCTCGACATTCATGTTGTTTCTTTTGTATTTATGCTTCTTTTAGTGCGACGGGGTTTCACATGGACTCTTTAGTCTCACTCAATTGATCGAGTGTTTCAATTATAATTGAGTCTTTTTGCTTGGGCAAGTGTGTCTCTATGAGTTCTTCTTTTGTTTTTCTTGTTTTTTTTCTTAGGAGTATTCAAGAGTCTCCATATTTTTTTTCCTCTCTTTTTTTTTCACACTTGCTCTTATTTTTATAAGTTTCACCACCCCAAACTTAGAATTGCACAATTCCAAAATCCATAACGCTTATGCCGAGCCAGGGTAAGAGGATTTTTTTTTCTTTTTTGGTCGTGGGTTAACATATGCGGTTAAAACAAACAAGGGATATGGGCTCAAAATGGATTTATAAAAGATAAACATAATGGAGGGTGGTTGGAAAGGCTCAGGGGTAAAACAAACAACATGTCTCAGTGTGTGCCATCATGCAGTGATGCGTTAGTAGAATGTATGCAAAATCAGAGCGATAAAGTCATACCTGAGTGAACTCTCATGATGATATTTTTGTGTTTGGGTTTTTGTATGCTCACCATGTCGGGAAAGCTTACAGGTTACAAAGTACTCTGTGTGTAATGAAACTTCTTTTCTGATTCGGTTGTACCATCCTACAATCTCAGTTTGGTTTCAACAGGTTGCGTCCAACACTTTCTCTTTTATCCTTTTTCTCCGGCTGTATCAACTTTCTAGGGTACCTCGTGAGTAAGTCTGGGTTGCATCTTCCATCCACTAGATATCAGTCCATCATTCATCGGCAAATTCTACTCACTCTGCAACACAGTGTACACCACAAAACAAACAAACTAACAGAAAAATTTAACCAAAAACTATGAATTAAAAGGAATTAAAAAAAACTGAAAACAACTAAATAAAAGATAAAAGAAACCACCCCACACTTGAACTAAACATTGTCCATAATGTTTTTACCCAAGCGCGAGGAGACTCACAGTGCTCATTGAGGTGGAGGTGGTGGGTATGGATAATGTAACATCATGCGTCGCATCATCTCGTGTATCTCATCAATAGCAGCCCCTTGTCGGGTTTGCTCCACTCCTTGCCTAAAAATCTCTTCGCCTTGCTGGGTTTGTTTGGTTCAGAGGTAGCCGGTCTTATTCTGAACCCACTCTCATTGATTTAGAGGTATATAAGAGGATCCTTCATCCGACTGATTTGCACCAGAAGAAGGTACAAATTGTTCCTCTCTTGGTTGCTCTTCCTCACCATCTGCACCTGAAAAAAAACCTCCCATATCATCGTCCCCTTCTTCCTAGGCGATCTCCTCATATAACCAATTAGAAGTGTTAGAAATACTAATGCAGTCAGGTGCAGGTAGAGCAAGAATGTGTCTCTTGTGAATAACTAGTGAATAATAATCATGGTGAACCTCAATCATCTGGATTCACAAGAGCCTCCAAATCAATTTTGGACTTACCTAGCACAGTAGCAATTTCAAACAGTTCACAATTATAATGGAAATGATCGGCGATCTGAGTGATCATATCACCGACAGAAATGCCACTTGTACTTGCTCGGCCCACTCGACCCAAATAGCCCACCGCAAAAGCGGCCACGTTTACATGTTGTTGGTGGACCATACTAAAAAAAAAGAATAACTCTCGCTGAGTTGCTACACCTGTAATATCTCCTCTTCCAAATAAAGAGTATGCCAATCCTTTCTGCGCGCACCTGAAACACGGGTTATGAATACCCGACGCTCTGGCCTCTTTAGCAACATAACCAGTTTTACCTGTAATTGCCCCCAGAAATCACCCAGGA